AGCGCAACATGTACCGTTTTTGTATTGTTAGTATATAAATATGTCCTACACATGCACATAATAGCAGGGTCTAGTTTAAAACGTGTATTAGGCTTTTGTGCATTTTTTAAGTATTTCCGTTCCGTTTTATACTAGTGACGACAAAAAATTTAAGGAGAAGACAGCTGTCGCATTTGTTGTTGTGGCTTAAAAGTTTTCCACACTGCTAAACCGTTGTTTCCTTTTGGCTTTGTGCGATTACTGTTATTTTTCCAGTCACGTTCTGACAATAAACTGCGTTACAATAACCAAAGTCTGCTGTAAAAGAGAAAAGTTCTGGTATAAAAACATGTGAGGCTTAAAATAACAAAGACAAGACGAAGAATGTGCCTAGAGGTTGAGCAAAAAATGAAGATTTGAGTTATACATGATATACCTATTGTACATAAATGGTATAAGTATATTTGAGATATGTATACATAAATGTAGTTAAATTCTGAGTACCGAAGCATTATAAATTTATGTCAGTTTTCTCAGTCTCGCATCACGAACTTTAATTTCACGAACAATAATATTTATTCAGTCTTTGTCGTCTCAGGTATTACGCCGTATTCAAGTATCTCGATCAAGATTTGAGCATGCGACTCTCACAGAGGTATTGAAACAATACGGAGAATTTTACTTAAGAGTGTCAATATAAGGTATTTTCTCAGTTTCGGTTTCTGTGACTATCAAAAAATAATTGTAGCCAATTCGCCTTCCTCTATTAAATCAATTTTCTAGGCCGTTTTTCTAGTGGCGATTCAGACCACCAAAACTTCTTTAAAGTAACTCTCTTTTATAAAATATAACAATGCTCAGACTCGAGTTCTTCCAGCAATTTTTATATATTAAATGGCTTTCCCTAATCAAGGCCGTGATATATTAAAACATATATTTTTTATAAAAAATGGTAAATTAGTCTCCCATAGCATTAGATATAAATTTAGTTGAAAATAAGTAGGGAAGGACTAAGTTCGGGTGTGACCACACATATTACACTCTCTCAACATGCTGGATCATAGCCGTGGAAATACCTTCAGGTGTTCCTAAAACTTTTTGTAAAAAACTGTTGCGAAAGAATTAAACATTCATTGTTCAAAGAAATAGCGATTACAATAAAATTGACTATCTTATTAACTTATGTATAGTTGTAGACTCTCTTAGTTTCATTACCACATTTTGCATGTCCGAAATATTAAGATAAACCCAATATCAAATGACATATATTTGATATAAACTCAAGCAAAGCAAAATTTAATATTTTGAATTTCATTAATATATATCACAGATTGACCGATATTTTCTGTAAAAAGTCAGCCATAGGCACTGAGATCTACTAATTCTGTATCTGCCCAATTTTAGACTTCAGATACCATATCAAAAAGTCACTATTTGTGCAAAGTCTTATCAAAATATATTGTTTGTTGTTTGAAGTTGAAGAGTTTTGAGGAATTTGGAATTGTGTTATATGGCAAGTAGGCGTGGTTGTAGTCGGATCTCACTGGAATAGAAGAATAATTTTAAGTACCAACTTTGGTTGAAATCAGTCGCGTAGGTCCTAAGGTATGAGATTTTTCCTAAAGGTGATCGGTGCCACACCCATTGTCCAAATTTGATATCGGCTGCCGTTCCGCACTTTTAGTAGTTTTCAGCATAACCGTTCCCATATATGTATGTGGGTGACGAGGTATCCGCTTTCACCCCATTTAACACTGTCGGAGTATACTGTATATCATAAATTTTTATCCAGAGCGTAGTTGGCTGATTTAGCTTTAAAAGTTTGAAAGATATTCATATTAAACTTATTAAAGGGCGGGACCTACCTAATGCCATGCGTTGTACCAAATAACTGTTATATACCTTAACATGTTTTTGCATAACGGCATGGCAATTGGCCGTCTGGAATACCAAAACCCTCGGGTGCTAGGAAATCATCAGGATATCTAAATTTTTTACTCAAGTTACCGCTTGCATGGACAGATGGACAGACAGTCACTCGGAATTCAACTCGTCTTACCATCCTAATCATTTATGTATATATATATAAATCAATGTCTATCTCGATTTGTTTTTCCACTTACTGTCAAACCACCACCCATCGCAGACGAAGAGCTCGAATTGCCACGAGAATCTAGAGTGACCCTCGTTCTGGATACTGTAGCATTTTAAACTCCTACCTATCCAGAAACGACTCCGACATACCGAATATATGTCCAGCATGCAATGAGTCTTCGCATGACACTAACCACCCGTTTGCATGCCCAACGAACCCCACTCATCTAACACCCTTCTCCCTATGGTCCGACCCCGTCGAAACAGCTTGTTTTCTGGGTCTCCCGTTAGATGCCCTTGACGACAACCAAACTGAAACCTATCGGAAAAGTGTTAACTTGGGCGTTTCTTATAGCAACTATGATATAAATATAGCTATATGCTGTAGTGTTCCCATCTGAACAATTTGTGCGGAGATTGTATTCCAAGAAGTTAAGTTAGATCACGTATTTACAAAATCATATATTTACAACCAAAACTAAATTAAACTGATCCATAGTACTCGCATAAATGATTTACGTGTCTACATTCATTTTCTCAAGTTCTTTCACAACATTTTAAATTTTTATCGTATCTACGAACTTCAACGCTTAAAACATGTTAGCGTGAAACGATGGGTTGAAGAAATACACTGCAAAAACAAATTTCTAGCCTGCTGTTTTATGGAAAATCTGATTACCAACATGGATTCACGCTACTTTATGCATATGCGTGATCACCTCCTTCACCAGAATAAGTTTGTTAGCAACGCCCTCAGTTGATTTATGCGCAGTTGTGGTCAAGTGCCGCCCGTGTAGGCTCAACAAACTGCACAATCTACGTCATATTAACCGGCACTATTGTTGCTGGACGATTGTATTTGCCGAACATTTTGCCACTTTTAGATTGCGCATAATTCAACAAACACAAAGCTTTGGATATTGCGGTGATGATTGGTAGTTGGTGGTAGAGCTAGTACTACGAATCGAGCGTTTGCATACGTAACTGGTATGGTTAGCAAGATGGTAGGGGCAAGCGGTGAAAAACAGCTAGTGCCTGAACGTTTAAGTACGCAAAATTTCCAATAGAGGGTCCCACATAATTTTCGGTTTGACAGTTTGCGCCACCTTGAGTAGTACCTACACATACGCGCGTGCAATCTTAGACAGTTATATACGAGGGCGGTACGATGGGCCGTAAAAATTTGGTTGAACGAGTTTAAACGTGTTCACATGTCGGTTTTTGATGGGCAACGACCAGGTGCCTTGAAAACAGCTACCAAGTTCACGATCTCGTACCGTCAGTCGACTGATTGAAGGTGTGCGAGATGGCTATGACACTAGGCATCTCAAAAAACTGCAGGGTTCTTATTCTATACGAAATATATTGCATGAGAAAGCTATCGCATCAATGAGTGCCGCGATTTCTTACTCTAGAAAACAAGAGCAACCGTGAGACCACTTTTGACAAGGTTTAAGCGAACGAAGTTTCTACGTCTATTTTGCAAATGAAATATCGTTGGGTGAATTGTATCGAATTGTTCGTTTTCTTCTGTAGATAAAGTAATTATCCCACACGTCTCGTATGCATCTATGCTTAGTCGTGTTCCAATTTGTGTGGGTTGAGGCGGAAAATCTGCCCGCTGGCACAGTAAATTAGCAACTTCTACCGAATTACATATGCCATTGTCACATGCTTGCTGCCTCTGAATGTACCTACACAGAGAGATATAGTAAAGGTCTGTTTGTGTGGAGCCGGCACTGTCGAGACCTCGGCGTTTGCGTCTGTTGTTAATCAAACCACAGCGGCCACAATGCATTAGTGCATGGTTCAATTGCTTGGCACTGCGGATGCTTCAGTTCACTCACTTATGCTGGTTGTCTGCATGCGAGTATTTATGTAGATCTCGGGTACCAGCGGGTTCGCATGTGTTTGTTTGACTCATCGACTCTGTTGGTGGAGATCATCAACGGAGCCACCGAGGTGATTTGTGTGTATGTGCAAGCATCTATTTCGGTTGAATTGGTTATATTTTGGGTAAATATAGGTCAGTGTAGGTGTGTGTGTTTGCAAGCGCCTAATTTAAGCAATTCCGACTGTTATTCGACGAAATGATTGATTGGGTTCTAACCGAATTTCGGCTGTTGTCTGATTTGCGGCTTGTAACATAAACGCTGAGGAACAATTCGGCTATTGAAAGAGTAATACGGAGACGAGAAGGTTTGGAAACGGAGAATGGCGGCTAGTACACTTTGATTGTCGGAGGATGAAAGCTCAACTTCAATTACTTCAGGCTTATTGCTTCTGCCATTATTATTGCCGGAAAATAGTTCGTGCAGTTAACATTACAGTACAAACCGCAGCAGCAGCTGTGTTCCCTGAATAACCATTGTGCCATCTATAGTGTCAAAGATAAAAAGTTGTATAGCACCACATTCTTTGTTAGAGAGAGGATATTAGTTAAGTAGGATACCTGAGATTCTCTCTTCTCGTATTAATGAGAGCTACCTTTAAAGAAATTCTGTACTTTATCACGGGCAAAAGTATTTCAGCGGCACAGATCAAGATGAAGATCGTAAATCAGCGAAAACGTGCCTTATGCGAGTGTTCTATCCATCTTTGTCAATGACGACATCGAAAAAGTTAAGGAAACAGTGCTTAAAAAATCTGTTGTAAAGGATCACACGTCATCATAAAGGAATAAAACGACAAGCAGTCGGTAAGAACATTTATGATTAATGTATGTGTTCATAATGCCGTTAGATTCGGAGTAAGATATGTATATGTATAACACAACTATGTATGTGTTATATACATGAATTAGAATAAGGAATTAATATATATAAATAGGCTTTAGGTCACCAGAGCTGAGTCCGATTTCAACTTACAACATCAATGGTTTATTTTAACAAATGATTGCACTCCTACCTTTTTTGATTTCACACATATAATTTGAATTTTATTTATTTTTAAGCTCTTGTTTTAGATAAACAATATAATTTTACAGTCTTAAATTGTAACTTGGCACATTTTTGGTAAAGGCGGTAAGCCAAAATCTTCGGGACGAAAATCTTCTAAAGACTTTAATACTTGAGTTGCTCCCTTGCGCAGCTCCTTCGTTACTAGTTCATCTGGTACCATCACAACTTGCATGCCTGCACTTAAGGCTGCCTGAACGCCATTTGGGGCGTCTTCAAAAACAAGACAGTTTGAGGGGCAAGGTTTGTCCGAGAAACGCGAAGCAGCTAAAAGAAATATGTCAGGAGAAGGTTTGCCTGCCTTAACTTCTGGGTCAGTAGACCCGCAAACACGATGATGAAAAAGTTTGAACACGTCGCGATGATGATTAATTTTTATTTCAACCATATGCTCGCCAGAACTAGTAGCCAATGCTAAGGGAATCTTATTAGCATCGAGATGCCTCAGTAATCGCTCTGCACCTTGCATCAACGGTGAATTCCCCAACATTTCTTTACACTTATTTGAAAATATTTTCAGGTATTCCTCGACAGTTATGGGCAATTCTAGTTCATTGACAGCAATTTCAGCCGATTTTTGCTCGGTTGTGCCAAGCAATTTTATCCGCACATCACGTGGGTAAGACTTGTTAAAAGAACCAGCTATTTGCCTTACAATTTCTTCATAAACCACTTCAGTATCTAGTAATAAACCATCCAAATCAAATATGCAATGCGTAACATTCTTAAATTTACTACACATATTGCACCAGTCTTTACTAAACTATCAATATCTATAGTATGTGCTAAATTTTGTTAAATATTAGCAAAAACCTCAATTTTGTATCAAAAATTTTACTGCCTTTTTGATTGAAATAAAATTATATAACGATTGAAATACTATTGACATCTCAAAAAAAAAAACACAAAAAGTGAAAATTAAAGTTTCAAACAAACCCAGTTAAATTGGTATACAGGTACGAAAATTGTTTATTATTTTACTTAACATATTTTTTTTATAAGAAATGCACAAGCAACTAAAATTTGCCGAAAAAGAGCAAAAACTTAATTTTAGAGGCATGAGTATGGAGCTAAATGAAGAAATATTAAATTTAGGGAAGCTCCCGAGTTTCAGTGAAACCATTTAAAATTATCAAAAGATTCGAAAAATAAGAAATATAATTGTTTTAAAAATGATGTTGAACATTTGTTAAAATAAACCATTAATGTAGGAATCGAACTCAGCTCTGCTTGCCCAGAGCACATTTGTTTACATAAATTAATCCCTTATCCCCAAATTCATATACATAATACATACATAGTTGTGTTATTAATATATATGTATATCTTAATACGAATATACTTTACATAACAGCAATATTTACACATACCTTAAACATAACGGATCTCAATGGCTTTTTTCGTTTTGTTAGTTTAGGATCATGTGTGATCATTTACAATATATGCATGCAATAAGTAAGCTCTATTCAATCTATACAAAATGAATATTAGTTTCAAGTGTTGATAGGAGTGGGTATTCAATAAATATGGTACATTTCCATACTTAAGAAGACATTTGTAGTTGTTCGCAATAAGACACATAAATATTTGCATTTGATAGCTGTTTAAGTATAGTTAAAATACGAGTAATACTATCTGTAAATGAATTGAATACAGATAGCCTTGTTTGATTTTGTTTATAAAAGTTTTGTAATAAAAATTGTATAATAATTGCAACTCGCGCTTGCGTTGCCTGTCTTCACTCGTTGCCTCGTTTGGTATAAGGGTTTCAACTGACTACTCCTTGTCTGCCTTGATACACCGTTCGTCATCTGCCGTATTGCCATCTAACGTTGACATATCTTAAATTGCTAATGGCTACAATTGTTCGGAAATCTGAACAGCCACCATAGTTGTCAGATTTGACACCCTGTGACTTTTTTTCTTTTCAAAACTGAAATATCCGCGCCGGGGAACGCGTCATGATTCCATTGACTCGTAAACACGTCGTAAACAAAAAGCTGCCAAACACCACAGCAATTGATTACTAATGCGAAAAAACTACGAACATAAAAAAGGTTGTACCAATCTAGGAGAAAAAAAGTGTATCGATTTGTTTGGGCAAGCAGTTTAAATTTGATTGTATTGTAGTTGTTTATTGAATTGGAAAAATCTGACAAGTAGTAAAAACGTTTGAAAACAAGAAAAAGCTTTAACTTCAGTTGGACCGAAATTACAAACGATTTCTTACAAAAATTCCGATCGGTCAGTTTCTATAACACATATATGCAATAGCGACTCGATCTGAACGATTTTTCGGAGATTGCATCATTGCACAATAGACCATGCTAAATTTCGTGAACATATCTCGTCAAATGAAAAAATAAAGCAAGAATTAAGCTTTATTAAAAAGATTTAGAAATATTTTGTCATTATCTTTTAAAAATGATTTCGGGTAAGTGACGGCTCGTATAAATTCCAGCCGAGGGGTCCAATTATCGATCACTTTTTGTAGCAATTGGAGCCGTTTGTTAGCAATAATGCGCTGAATATTCTCTTCGAAGGTGTCAAACGTCTCGGGCTTCCGACTGTGGGTTTTCACATACAGCAGTTTAAAAATTTCTCTATTATCTGTTTCTTTGTCGTCACATTGAACCAACACACATTTATACATAAGCTGAAACTTCTACTTTTTTTTAGTTATTTGACTTCCATATAAGGCCCTTGATGAAGTTCACAGGGTACATTTTAATATTGAAAGATCACTCGCAATCCACTCTAATCAAACAATGTAGTTTTTGTTATCAAAATTGCTCGCCTGTTCTTTGCTTTGACACATTTTTTATTGCCTCCTAACGTTCGTTACAAAAACAAAAACAATATTTGCAAATGGTTCAGAGTTGTCACATATTAAATCTTTATTAAGCAATGTCAATGAACGCTTTGTTTGTGCCGTTTCACACAGGGATTCAAAAGAGTCTCATACCAGTTTATTGTGGGCGAGGGGACGACGAGGAAAGACGAAGGGACCGTGCCACTCGTGCTCGGGTGGCACGCTTTGTGTTCTTGTTCGTAACAGCTCGCTGCTACCCTTTTCAGCATTCCTTTTCACTTTCCAATCCTTTGAATGGTTGCAAGAGCGCTCGGTTTCAAATGAATTCGATTGCAAATTTGAGTTCTGTTATTTATTTTTGTATGTAATATGCAAATACGTATGCATAGAATAATAGAAATTTTATGACAAATTGTAAATAAGGAGAAAATTAAGATATAGATTATGGAGTAAAAAAATTATGAATTTTTAATACGGAGTAAAGAAATTATGAGTTTCTAATACTTAAAGATTAGGAAATTCCTATTATAAATTTGGCCTTGAAAATATTAGTAGCGGATATTCAATACATTATTGTGGATTAGGGAATTCCCGTCTTTGGTATTTCTTTGAAACTATTTAGCGGGTAGGTACTTGTATTATGCATATTGTTCTACCATATTCATGGTAATTCATTGCAAGCAAAATGTGTGACCATCATCTCAACATACAAATGAAATACGCAGCACGCAGTGTTGCGCGGTGTTGCGCAGTCGAAAGGCACAAATATTTACGAAAATTTTGTAAAAAGGAATGCAGAAAAACTAGACTCGAGTTGCTGGACTCTTTTTGACCGTGTGAATGCCCAGAGCGACACCAAAAGAAAATTTGAAAAAACTCAGACTCTTTTGAATCCCTGTCTGAAACGGCACTTTGCATTCACTTGTGGAGTTGCCATATGATTGTTAATATAGGGTTGTTTGTTTTATATTTATTTAACGTTCAAAATAATAGCAGGGAAAGGTATTCAAATTCTAAAATTAGATACTTTAAATAAAAATTCAAGCATGAGAAATCGTGTTCTATAAGTAAAAGTCTCTCGAGAGATTAAAAGAACCGTCATTTGAAGAAATGTAAACTTATTCCCTAATTGCCCTATTTTCAATAATTTTTTTTCCATATAAAAATAAAATATTTTATTCAAGATTTTTATTATTCTAAAGATACATATTTGATAAAGATTTTGTGAAAATTTCAAAGGAAAATATCCAAAACTCGGTTATTACAAGGATATTTCCGGAAAACCGATGCTTCCACGTTGACAGCAGGATCATCAAAAGTAAAAAAAAGGTATTTGAACTAAGACGAAATCTTGACAACCGGCTTTGACAACACAGTTTCAAGAAAAACGCGTTTAAAGTTTTAAGTGACCGTATACCTAACCTCGAGCACGTAAGCTGTACCTCCAAAACTATTACTGGGATCAGCTTGAGAAATTAGGACAATATTATAAAAAATGTATAGAATTAAATAAGACAATAAAATGTTTTTTTTTTTGCTTTTTGAAGCCGTGAAACCCATGTAACCCCTTAAAAGTATGTATGGCTGAATAAGGCGCCGAATGCCAAAACAAACATGAATATTGGTATGCGGTTGTTAGTTAGCTGACTTTTTCTTATTAAAAATTCGACATTTTATATCTGACAGGTCAGATCTAGATTTTTGTAGAGATGAACATATTACTTGTAAACAAACAATTACAAAGAGACTCGAAAGTACTAAATGGAAATATTTAAGGTGAAAAATATTTTCCCATTCGAAAATATTGAAATTGGCATCATGGTTAGCGTTTTGTTTTTAGGTAAAGTTCAAAATTTTCATTTATAACGAATTTATGTGCTAAAGCCATAAATGAACTCCTTTAAATATCGTCCCATTTGGTACACTCTTTTTAATTATTATGTTCTTGTGACTTGATTGGATCCGCCTTATAAAAGCTTTCGAAAAAAATAAAAAAAAGTTTTTGGTTTGATTTACCTTAAACTCACTCAAACACTTGCGTTGTTGATAAATTAGACCCCTAAAACGCTTTCGAGCCTTTACAAGGTATTTCTGTTTGATTTGAACTACGCAGATTGATAAACACTAAAGCCAAGCTATGTAAATGATAAGTGTTTTCACCTGGTTGTTATGTCATTTCTCTAGGAAAGACGATAGCCATTAAAACAAGAAAAAAATTTAACTTCGATATCTTCACAAATACAAAGAATTCCTTACAAGGAGTTGATTTTGATCGAGTAGCTTGTTAGATCAGACTCGATCTGAAAAATTTCTTCATAAATATTGCAGCAAGCTATCCTAACTTAAGCCATCGTGTGGTGGTATATTTCATATACGGGGTGTGTTATTTCTCATGCCGATATTGTACCACACCCTGTAAACATACTATTGATTCCTTGAATAAGAAAAGCTTTAAATGTCAAGTTGTGATTTTTATGGAAATGAGGCATTTTAACGACCTTTAATGCCATTCACTACCAAATTTACAAAGCAACATTTTTCGATATCAATTCCTCAATAATAAATTACGTGAAAAATAAATATAAAAACTCGGTTTTTAATTTGGCAAATTGCGACATTATTTAACTACGCCTGTGGTCGCATTAATATTGTTTTTGCCGATCTCTAGCGTATAACTGCTTTGTGTATTGCATAATATTTGCGAATATTTTTGCGAACTTACCACAAAAAATATTTGCACAATTTTGATTACAATAAGTAAACACGATTTTTTTATTCGGGAAATATATAATATGTATGTTGGCAGGGCAAATATTTGGTTCAAGTGTATACAAGAGCATGTAGAACAAGCTGAAATTGCGAGGGCGCTTAAAAGTATGTTAAAATATTTTTCCCCCTAGTTAATAGGAGGTCGCTAATTTATGTGCATGTATGTATGTATGTTTTCAAGTCAATATGTTTAGTGGCCTTTGCGGCTTAATGTTTTAAATTCAAAGCGTCCTCTCCTCGCTCATTTATTTGAATTTCTTTTTCGACTTTCTGTATTCGACAAATAAACCAATTACATAAGATGCTTGTCGTTG